ACGCTTGTAATGAGTGGCAGTAAAAGAAATGGGAGTGCTGCTGCTCACTGGAATGAGTAATTGCCCTGTGATATTTTATTCTTTAAAATTTGCAGTTGTGCAAACAAAGGGAGCCTGTGAGCACGTGYGGTGGGGAAGTAACGGGACCTCCTTCCACTGACCTCCTGTGTTGTCCCATGGGTCGGACCAGCTGAAGCTCACGCCTCCCTCAAAGGCCTTTCTTGCTACTTCTTCACATGCAGCTCTGTCCTGGAACATGGAAGGATGAATGAAATGCATGGGGTCATGGAAAACAAGTCTGAAAAAGGAACTTTGGAATGTCTTCTAATCCATTCCCGTTGTTCCCTTCCTAACAGATATATGTCCATTTGCACCAGAAAATTTGGCTAATTCCAGAACTTCAGATGACATGTTCCATATCTCTGAATATAGTATTAGTTTCTTGGGAACAATCTGCTGTCATGATGACTTTGAACCAGAAACTTTTCATCTAAGTATTATATRCATATATGTATCTGACTACAAGGATGGGAGAAGCCACTTTAGTTTAAACTGAAATTCTGAAACGATGGTAAGGAAAGGGGGAAAGGAAGGGATGGAAGGMAAAAGAAAGCCAGGGAAAGGAAGAAAATGAAGGCAAGATAAAGGCAGGAAAGCAGGGGAAGGAACAGAAGGCAAAGAAAAGGTGGGGAAGAAAAGGAAAAGGAGGCTTGCATGTTTTAGTTTGCATCATTTCGTTACTGTCACAGTTAAAAACGTGATGAACGCGTGCACGGGCCGGCAGTGTGGAGCACGTTGCCTCAAGCCCGGGCACTGAGCGCAGGTGTTTGCTTTGCYACCTGCACAAATAGGGATTTCCATGCAATTGCTCCTCGTTTCTCTCCTGGTTTTCAAGGCTGTAGCCCAGGCCCACACAGAGTACTTGGCCGCGTTGCCTGGCTCCCTTCCTGGCRCGTGGCTCTTGGCAGCCTCCTGAGCCGTGTCCCGCCGGGCAATCCCTGCGGATTCCTGGCTTCGGGCAGGTCTCCGACGGCCTCCGTGTTTCTGTTCCCCGAGCTCTGCCCTTCCTGTCCCTAGGGGAGAGGAGCCACCTGGGCCATGGCTCCTTCGGCTCAGCGAGGCCTATGCACACGTATCAGGTGCCAGCACAATTGCAATTAATTCCTGACACGTTTGAGGAAAGGCTGAATGGATAAAAATAGATCACTGCTTTTTGAAGTTGGAATGAATTTCCATTAAGCTTAAAAACTCCCAAAATCCAAACCTTTTATGTGTTTGTCAGCAGTATGGCAATATGCATGTTTTTAGAGCATGTGTTCTCAGTACATGTTGTCTGTTGTTCATGTGTGTATTAATTTCATTTCAGCGTTAGCATTATTTAATTGATACTAAGYCCTCTTTTCTTCCCCCCAGAAAATCACTAGCAAAATGGTTTCATAGCTCAGGATCTCCTAGAGAGCCAGATGTTTTACATTTATTCCAGAAAATGTCATTCTTAAGCTGACTAATGGCTTGAGAACAACAAAAATAAATAATGAGCAAGCTCCGTAGGACATGGCTCATGCCACCAGGCCCTGCTCTACAACATGGTTGCGTTGTTAATTGTTTGCATTTTGTTCCATCTTCTGTGTTATCACAGAGCAGGGTTTCTGAAATGCACTAATTTCACCAGCCATCACTGATAGAGGGGATGACACTCAGCGAAACACACTAATTACCAGTGTGCGTTGTCATATTTTACAGAAATGAATCCTAAAATCCTTGTAAGTGCCGCGGCAAGTCCAGCGTGCAGCTTCCCGGGCAAAATGTGACTGTTGCCTSGGTGGCCTGTTTGTGCCCGCGGCGCCTGTTGCGCCTGTGCCGGAGGGTTGGCCTGGGGGGTTGTTTTAAATGTCTGTAAATTCATAGAGTGAAACCTTGTCATAAGACAGTGCAACCTAAGGGCAGTGCACAAAAAAAGAAAAAGAAAAAAAGGAAAAAAGAGCAAGTCAGGTTAAAGCGCACACAAATTATACTGCAAATCAGTTTTGTGTAAGGAGTGTGTTACTTTACTGGAGATGTAAGTAGCCKTAAGAACTTCCATTGAATGTGCTGGGAAGGGAATTTTATCAAAGTATGGTAGTGTGGTATCAATGTATTTTGTCGTGGCTTCTGATAACATCACTGTTACTATTGTTAATKTAAAGAAATTTCATTTACAAAACTAAACTGGGATCAGGAGTCCATGGGCAGAATGCTTAGATTGTCGAGACCTGAGAAAGTTAATATTTAAAATTAGAGGGTTTTTGGAACAGRAGGGTTGAGGTTGGAAGGGACCTTTGGACATCAGCCCAGCTCCCTTGTTCAAGGGAGAGTTGTGTCCAGGGAGCCATCTGGACACAGTTCGTCCTTGGAATATCGCCAAGACTGGAGACTTTGTGGCCTATGTGGACAATCCTTAGCCCTGTGCTCAGGCACCGTCCCAGTAAAGAAGTTTTGTTGGTGGTGGTGAGTTTTTTTCCCATGTTCAGACAGCCCTTCCTGTGTGCGTTCACTTAATGTTGTAAAAGTGAGTATGATAGTAAAATCATCTAAACCAAAATGTTGTGCTGTGTACAACACAACTGACTAGAGAGGCAGCGTGTTGATGGAGACATGGTTGTTCATGAAGGAGGCGCRGTAAGGCAGGTGATGCGGGTACACGGGCAGGGACAACAGGGAGTGTTTTAGGCAAAGCATCCGTGAGGCTTCCTGAGATGCAGGTTGCTGCTGTGGTGTCTGCTCGCAGGGGYTGCTTATTGTGCTTAGCATTTTTGCCCTTCTTGTTTTTCTGTTCCTCAAAGCTCCTCTTGAGCACTGCAGAAGGGAGGAGGTGTTGCCAGGTCAGAGGTTGTTTTTCTGGAGCTGACACTCAAAAAAGACCAATTGTGTAACAGTCTTAGCTGGATTTACACTGTTATATAACTTCAGCAGTATTAGGAACATAAATGCTGTTTCCATTTCTTTCTTCCTAGTAGCAGTACTGGGGAGGACGTTGTGTTTATGGGATCTGCTCTCTGTAGATGCAGTGATGAGTGGAAGGCCTTTTATTCTTCCTTCCGCCCCGCCCAAAGCTGAACATGACCACAGGCAAAATGAACTCCAAGGTGTCTTGTTCAAAAAATTAGCTCAATGGTATCTGCAAACTGTTTTACTATTTACAATCAACTTGAACTTAAATAGTGTTTATTTCTGAAGATATTTTTCACTTTCATTATCACTTTCATTGAACATACACCTGATAAAATACCTGAGGGGAGAATGTAGGGAGAAGGGGTCAAACTCAGTGGTGGCCAGTGATAGGACAAGGGGCAGTTGGTGTAAGTTGCAACACAGGCAGTTCCATCTGCAAGTGAGGAGGAACTTCTTTCCTGTGAGGGTGACAGAGCCCTGGCACAGGCTGCCCAGGGAGGCTGTGGAGTCTCCTTCTCTGGAGATCTTCCAAACCCGCCTGGATGCCGCCCTGTGCCCCGTGCTCTGGGTGTCCCTGCTGGAGCAGGGGGGCTGGACTAGAGGATCTCTAGAGGTCCCTTCCAACCTCAACCATCCTGTGGTTCTGTGATRCATGTAATTTTAATCTACATTTTTTGCGGTGGAAAAGGCCATTCTTTATTACACTCCTGACTCCTGGAGCATTCCTGCCTGGAATTGTGCTGGTTGTCTGACTTCTGACCCAGGATCCCCCAAAAAGCAGGGGGAGGGAAAGCGTTGGGGATAGCTCAGCATGTGCAAATGCAGGCTAGAATAAGGGCTCAGCTTAATAGGACTCTCTCTGGTGCTTAAAAACAGGCTTAGAGGTTGGACACAGGGATTTGCTGAAGGAGTTGAGCTGCCTCTTGCCTGCATCCTCACAGGGCAGAATGGGATGATTTGTGTCCACACAGCTTGGGGTAAAGGCAAAGTGCGAGTAGCTCCGCTGCCAAGTGCCTTTTAGGACCTGGAGGTCAAGTCTGGACCCTCACTTTTGTTATCGGGAAAATTCCTCTTGTGTTGGATGGCTTTGTAATCTTCTCCATTAGGAGAATGTTTGAAGATGCATTTTTGAAAAATACACACGTGCACACACACACACACATACACACACACATGTTTTAGTTCCTCTTCTTTCTCCACAAACTTACATTGTTTTCATATACCTAAAACTAAAAATAAAATGGTCTGTTTCATGAATGAGGCAGTGGGATCTTTCATTTTTGTTCGACCTTGAATGTGCTTTGGAATCTTAAGAATTTGAAATCTCTTACAGTCTCCACAACCTTAAAGAATATGTTCAAAACAGAATTAGGACCAATTCAACTACACTTGTTCATGATCACTTCTGCAATTCTTGTCTGCCAAGACATACCATGGGATACAAGATAGATTTTAACGTGCTATACGTTTGTTATTCGGTCAGTATTATAATTCCGAGCTAGTTGGTATCACTGGGAGCCTCAGTTAATTTCCTAGGAGGGAAGCCTCTGCCCTACCCAGAAGTAGCTTCCCCAGCAAAACCAGCTTCATTCGGCAGAGCTTATTCATTTCCCTGGGAGTGTAGTTTAACCAAGCTGAATGGGGGTTAAAGCCAGTCTCCCCGCTGAGCAYGTTAAGACGAGCCCGTCGGGGAAGGCCCGTGCCCTGCGTGCCCGCGCGCGGGCTGTGCGCGGAGCTCGTGCAAGGCCGGTGACGCGGGGTGCAGCGCAGCACCCCGCTGCCGTGAGCGAGCCCCCGGTTTGCAGCGAGCAGCGGGGCCGCCCGCCGGGGGCACAGGCAGAGCAGAGCTGCGCTGCGGGGCGCTTTGCTTGTGCTGGGATTAAGCTGCGCTTAGGAGGCTGTGTAGGAGTGGGCAGCCTTGTAGTTCATTCTGTAGTTCTTAACCCTTCAGTGAATGGAACTTTAAGATGTGGAAATAAGAAAAAAAGGGAATTGCAGGAGACTGCAGGGATTCGAGCCTCTGTTTCTTAACGCTTAGCASTGTTTCTGTTTTTGTTTGTTTTTCCCAGTTACAAGAAAACACATGAAACCCTGAGCCATGCAGGACAGAAGGCCACAGCAGCTATCAGCAATGTAGGAACTGCTATCAGCAAGAAGTTCGGAGACATGAGGTAAAGGTGTTTGCTGCCACTTTGGTCTTATTTTGAGGAGAAAAGAGATAACAAATCTATTGCTTTTCATTTTCTATCACACTAGTGTTTAAAGTTCCAGCTAGTGCTTATAATTGTAGCATTTTATTCCTGGTGCCAGCTGAAAGGAAAAGGCTGTGAATATATAATTCTTATTACATTCCCAGATTAAAAAAATAAAAAAGRACAACCTGGAAATTCCCTTTAGAATAACTTTGCAAGCCTGGAAGAGTGTGCAAACAAAATGGAAGGGGAAAAAAAAAATCAGTTAAATCTTCATTAACCTAATTTTATTCAGAGATGAGTTTTGGACACAAACATTTCAAAATAAAATTAGTACCACTCCCTGAAGCCAGGTTTTATTACTTAGAAAACTGTTGCTGCCTTTTCTCCTCCTACTTGATCTGTTTCCCATCATCTGCTACAACACCTCTTCACATAACCAAGGCAAACCCATTGCTTAGGGGACAGGAGCCACTGCAGACACCGCTGCTTCTCTGCGCTGGATCCCAGAGCTCTCGTCACAGAACTGTTGTGCAAATACCCTGGGCACTGCTCCTTAGTCACAGGAGAAGGACTGTGACCACTTGGTGCTTTGCAGGTCCTATTGTGTGGGCTTTGCATAAGGTTTGAGATTAACTGCAAAGGAAGAAATGTTTTTACTGCAATATTGTGTGTCTTTCAGTACTTAACGTGACTGGTAACCACTTCCTTCATCCTACCTATCAGTCCCCTCCGCGATGTGATTTTCATGCTTCTGACTAGCATTTGGAAAGCAGCTGGGCAGTGTTTATCCTATTAGTTCTTTAGCCAAGGGCTGAAAGCAGAGGCTAAATCCATGAGCATTTTGATTAATCAGGAAACTTGATTCTAGTGGCGCTTTTTCTTTTTTCCTCCAGTTCGATTACCTTGTAGCTGGCTGAAAATATTTCAAGAAAATACAAACTTACCACCAGCACTGCTCTTTTTTTTGTTTGTTTTACKTAAGTGTTCGGTAAGGAGGGTTTTCTTGACAAGAAGCAGGCAGCATAGCCMGGAGCCCGTAGTTATACAAAGCATGGTGCAAATTGTGTCTTCTACGTCTGCAGAACATCCCAAATCACAATAGTCAGTGTGCTTGCTTGAAAGCAAGATCGTAACTCCGTTTGGGCAAGTAGAACTCCATGTTGGGTTACAGTGTAAACCTGTAAACTTAAATGCCCTAGGTTAAAAACCTGCCCCACTCCTGCTCTAACGCCAGCTGTGTCTAGAGAGTGAGCGTGGTAGGGAAGCACGCCTTGTTTTATTGTTTGCTTGCTTTTTTCCTAATCCCAATAATTTCATTTCATTTCGGTGGTCTAGCATGTGGATTATCTCAGCCCCCTCCCATAACACTGCTTTGAACACACATTAGGCTCTGGCTTGAATCTCTTGCTTAGGCATTAGGATTGATAGTCACCAATGACATCCAGATGCAAATCCCTGCTCGGCTTTCATTCAGAGCAGACACTTGCAACTGATTTCTATAATCCGGACRATCATTGTAATTCCCGGTATGTTTAGCAGTCTGGTGGGTTTGGCCTTTAACCCTGTGTCAGGGAGGATTTTGAAGGGTTTGCAGTCAGCCTGAGCCTGAATAGTGAAACCTGCCCTTGCTGTGAAAAAACATGGTGTTTTCCAGGCTGCCTCCTATGCAAACTGTATAGTAGAGCACCATGTGAAACACATTTACTTCTGTTCTGAAGGAGCAAGGTCTTAGCTGATGATCAGAGATATTTAACACTGAGTTATCTCTGAAAATATTTACTAAAATATAACACAAACAGCAGGCTGGATGGACTTCCCCTACATGCTCTGTTCTGCCATGTTGGCATTTGAAGAACATAATAATAAGATGGTGATGCTGATACATAAAGGAAGGAGAAGTGTCAAAATCCTCTCTCCCCTGTTTCCCCGTGGACAGAGAAACCTCCCTTTGGGGGACAAAATCCCTTTTGGGCTGCTGCCCTCCTCCTCTTTCCTCCTCACCCTTAGCTACCCAGTGTTGCAGCCCTCTAACTCATTTGTAGGTGAATAATCTTTAACGTTTTGCATCTTTTGAATTTTATGCTGTTCTTAATTAGTGCTCATGACATCTCTTTACAGTTATGGTGCATTTTATTTAAATCTCCATGTTACTAGAAATATGAGAAATGTAGATAAAACCAGTAAACATGTAGTTTTGCCTTTGGATACAAGCCAAGCACTAATAACACTCTTAAGATAATAATTTCCTTATGAATAGCTCTTCTGATTAGTAGCATGAAATCTGTTAGATTTTTTTTATTTTTTATTTGTGTGTGTGTGTGTATTCTCTGTTAATGTGTTCTGACATGCCCTGGTCACTCAGATGTGGAGGACAATGTCTGAATTTTCTTTCAGAAATGCTAGTGTGATTCTCTTTCTCCCTTTAAAGCACTGCTATGTGATTTAAGGGGAATGCTGATAACAGATGGAACAGTGCTGGAGGGAAAGGGTTGGATTTTGGGACCAGGACAAGTCAGGGCAATAGGAGCATGAGGGAGGACTTGACCAGTTTAGAAGGTTGGGATAGGTGAGATGGAGTTAAAGGCCCCTTTGGGCATGTTCATCCCCAGAGCCAAGCTCAATGCAGGATTGCTGAGTCCTGCCCCTTCCCTGCTGGCCATAGGTGGTGGTGGCAACATGTGGTGGCAACGTGTCTCTGGTCATGTAGAGCAGAGAGCTGGCGTGGGCTGGCGGCCTTTAGCCCTTGCTCTTCTGCATATGGCAAAGTTTGGATCTTTTTGTGGGGCACTGCTGTGTGTTATTCCACATCTATGTGGAATCTTACAGCTTCAGCCATGCTGATGACCCCTCTAGAAGGGTTGTGATACCACGTGGAGGATTTCTGGTATTTCAGTTTCAAAAATTGGTTTTACAAATCAATGAAACTACTTGCATTACACTACTRTATACGTGCTGTCGCGTGCACTACTAGTGCACAAGAGAAAAAAATAAAGGTCACTAAGCTAACAAGGATTTCACTCATTTACATGTAAGCAGCTTGCTGGAATGTTTTAAGAGCAGGTTAGGCAGATGTCTGTTGGAGGTGGCTCAGGTAGAATTAAAATGTACTGGTGCTGTGGGAGTGCGTTTTTGCTGTGTCTTCCTTCCCCTGCTGCATTTCTGGGCTTTCCACAATCTAAGGATGTTCTGAGTGCTCATAGATGTTGCTGAAGTCGCTGGGAGCTGAACTGCGTGACAAATCATAGCTGTCAGATACTCCACTGTGAAGGAAATAATGATACTGTCTTGTTTCAGAACTTCAGAATTGAATTTCATAACCATTTCTTCAGATGACAGGTGAGGCAGTTGCTTTTTCTCATTTCTGCTGGCACTTGCACCTTCAGTTGTGCTGGTTTGTAGAGCTCTGCAGTAACACAGATTCCCAGTCTTGCTTACCCTATGGATCTGTGCATATTGGTGCTAGCATGGAGTGAGGAATGGCTGGGACTGGCAGTCAGATGGTATTAAAAGGAAGGCCAAAACTGGCACCAGCATTACTATAACCTGGTCTAAACAGAAATATGTTGAGAAGATAATCTGTGCCTGTGAAGCACCTACATATGTAATGATAAGCCCTGAAAAAATCAATATTTTTTTTCAGAGTAGGGTGTAAATATTGCTCAGTAAATACACTGCAAACACAAAATAAATGCACCACAGCAGACACCAAAAAATTCTGTGAAAAGTTGAAGAGCTGTTCATTAAGTGTGCAGCATGTATCTGCTTCACTGCACTAGGCAGGTGTTCCCCTGAAGAAGAGGTCTGAAATTGAAGACTACCTCAGTGGTACATGGATGGAGAAGAAGCTGCCCTCCTCATCCTCCTGACTTAATGACACCCTTTGAGTCTTGCAGATCACTTCCCAATGCTGTTCCTTTGTGTGAACTGAAAACYAGTGTCAAACTGCTGAAAATAATATTTTCAACAGAAAAGAGATTTTCAGAAAATGTCATTTTAGGAATTAAGGGCTCTTTCCTTTTTATCCATACCCCCCTGAACTGAGAGGTGATACAAATCCAGAGCAGGGAAAAGGCGCTTGCTGCTGCTGCTGCTGCTGCTGCTGTGCGTTTCCAGTTGGCTGATGCTTCCTCTTGAATGAGGTTAAGGTGCAGTCTGGGCAGGGAAGTCAGTCACCACTGATCAGACGTGGTCTAATGAAGAAGACACAGAGTTTATCAGACAAAAATTCTGTTCTTTGTTGCACAGATAATATGAGATTAACTGTCTGGTGTGTGTAAAAATTAGTRAAGTGTGTATGTAGTGTGCAAGGAGGAGTGTAAAAAATTATTAAAAGCTCTGTTTTTTTCCTTGAAGGAATCTCAACTGATTGATATTCTAGTGTGACATCCAGTGTCAAAATTTGGATGTGAATGATTTTCTTTATGCTCTTTTGGCTTTATAGGTTCCAGATATGTATGTATATTTTTTGCTGTGTTTTCTTAATACTCTCAACTCTTCTTTCCTTTTACGGCTACCGTAGATCGCATTCAATTAGGTAAGACACATTGCTTTTCTTGAAGAGTGTTCTTAAATATTGCCTCTATTTTTGACAGGGTTTGTTTTTTGGAATGTAACACAGCAACCTCTTGCCTTTTAGCACTGCATGCGAGATAAAAATATATTCTACTTACACTGTAGTGTCTCATTTCTACTGCATGGTGCTTCTAATGAGGAAAGGACTGGAGTAAGTGGCTAGAGTGTTTGCCTTGCTCTTGAGTAGATTAGTTTCAAATTCAAATAATGAATGCTTTCAAAAGAGGTTTCTCTTGGGAAAACCTATTTATTGGTAGTCTGTTCTCTCAGCCTTCTCTTTCTATCTAGAGGTTGGAACATAAACAGCACTTAGTAAAAATTCTGTTTGTTGAGCAGAGTTTTATAAAGGTCACATAAAGAATTTAATTCCTGCCTCTTCAATGCAGCAGAGGTATCGCCRTCATGAAGCACACAGGGTGACTCTGTAAAACCCTTGCATTTATGGAGATCTAACAAGTTCTTACAATGATTAAAAAGAGGTTCTTTAGCCTTTCAGAGCTTGAGCTTACTGATGCTGTAGAACATTTCAATATATGTTAAAAACAATCTTTTATGTTAAAAGGCACAAAGGATCCCTGTTCTCTGCCTCTGCATGGAACCCGTGAGGTCTTTCAACGTTGCAGACAGAAGTGTCCTGAAGCCTGAAACATTAAATAAGCTTTTTTTTTTCCCCTAATCGAACAATATTGGAAGCTCTTGTTATTGTTTCTATAGCTTGTATCCCTTCAAAGGAAATAAAAACATGAGCTCAGTAAAATATGCACTCAGTAGTCAGATTGTCTGCACACATCATCTCTCAGCCATGTGAATTTAATTTGGTGCAATGTAATCTTCTAATTTAGAGCTCCATATTTGGAATATTTTGCTRCTAGAAGAGGAGCAGCCTATGCTGAATTGCTCTAAAATGCTTTATTTCCTGCCTGTTTGACACGTGTTAAAAGATCAGCATGGCAACCAACTTGTTTCATTTAACGAGGATTGCTGAATACCTGAACTTGTGTATGTTTGGAGTTGTCTTTACTAAATCCCAAAAACCAGTATGCTAATTGAACATGAAAAGCTTGAATTGGGTTTGGTGTCACTTCTTGTCTGTCGCAGCTTGGCAGAAGCCGTGAAGTAGATAAGCACTCACAGAGAGCAGTGCATCTAAGGCTAGTCTGACCCATCTTTTTGACAGCTTTTTTTTTTAAAATAAATAAAAAACCTAATAAAAAGAAAAAAGGAAGACAATTGTCTTCTTGATCAACTTCTTTTGGTTACCTTGAACCAACTTTGCCATTTATTTTCATAAACCTGAGGTCTGCTGCCGTCATAGCAGAGACCAGAACTTTTTAGCTGTGAGCGGGACCATGAAGGTAGCTCTCCGTTCCCCTGTCACACACTGAAAATCCCTGTGGGTGGCAAGAAACTGAGCCCTTTAAGCAGGTGCTGGCAGGAACTGTCCCGCATAGTTCCATTGAGCCCCAGCCTCCRGTCCCTTCATGTGAGACTGTGGTGGCGAGAACTTCAGCGCCGCAGGTGGGCTGGGATCCACAGGTGAGTTTGAGGAGCAGAGCAGTTGGATTTTGTTCCTTTTAACTAGGTCTAAAAAGCAAAGGATATGTGGCAACCGTGTTTCACGATGGTTTTCACACCTGCCTTCCCTTCTGTTTTGCTCTCCGTCCGCAGTTACTCCATTCGCCATTCCATCAGCATGCCGGCCATGAGGTAAGGCGCCCCGCGCCGCGCTCGCCCGGCCGCTGCSCTGCGGCGTGACRGGGGGCTGCTTTCACTCCTTGATCCTGATCCTGCCCTTTGTGCTCAGAGGAATAGCCCCACTTCCAGCAGTTAAAATGATTTGTGGAAATAGGGGCTGCAGGACCAGCKATTCTTTAGTTTGTATTAACTGTGCACCTCTCGTGCAAGCATTTGAGTAGTTGTAGCTGATCTGACGTGTTTGGATGGGTAAATGTTAACAGGTTTGTATTACTGAATCTGAAATGTTGTTGTTTTGCTGCTTTTAGAGCATCATCCAAAGCCTGCTGATGTCACATGCTTTCCACTGCAGCAGCCTTTGGGTCATGCTCCTGGGCAGGGATTTTCCATGAGTGCTCTCATATTTTAGGAGCTATAATCACACTTTGGTTGATGGCAGCAAAATATCAGTGCCTTTTCTAGTAAAGCTCCAAATGTTTTCAGTAAAATTAGGCTCTGGCTTTCCCTCCTCCACCCGAAATATATGAATGTCCCCATTACCTGCTATCCAGTGGGGAAAACAAATCTGGTAACTAAATGACAAAGACCAATTCACTCAACTTCTGCAGGTGGATGGTTTAAGGAAAGTGTCTGCAAGAGGGAACTGTGGGCCAAACTCAGCTTTTCTCTCCTTTTGGCCTTTTCTGGTCCTGGGGAAAGTCTGTCATTTATTTAACAGAAACCAAAAGTAAATCCGCATTATTTTTCCCAATGGCTGCTGCTTGCCCCTAAGCTAGGGTCAGTTTAACTGATCCGATGAGGGATATGGTGTAAACACATCTGCAGAAGCAGTGGCCGTCGTGGGGCTCCTGGGAAGTTGCCAGTAAGTTGCCCAGACACTGACCTGGCTCCCCTGGGTTCAGCAGCCTTTGACTTCCTTGCTTTTTGGAGAGAATCTCCTCCTGCATGTGCTGGCACCGAGGGGACAGGGATTACAGCAGGGTAAGGCCCTCTCCTCCCAAGCTCCCACTTACTCAGGAGAGGCCTCTCTTGCGGCTAAAGACCCTTGGCACCTTTTATGCCATGCAGGAACAAATGGATAAAGAGGTGTCAGTATCTGATGCTGTTGACCCTGCTGATAGGAGGTACCTTGTGCTTTTTCAGAGAAAGCAGTTTGTACAGCCTGTTAATGATGTATCACAATAGATAGTTGCCAGGCAAGCCAGCAAGCTGAATGTGTGGCTTGTTTTAAGAGAAAATCACACCTTTTGCTCATTTTTTTTTCTCCTTCTGAAGATGTGCTCAGCTCACAATTCTCCCGAAACAAACGGTGTTGTGTTCCATTCCCTGAGGAGTGTGAGCCAGAACAAAGCTTGGCTGTGGTAGGAGACTGTTGGGACATTATTCTCTTGAGTCTTCGCCTTTGAACGCAGCCAGGGACACTTAATGTCACAAAATCATGGATGGGTCAGACTCCTCAAAGGCACTTCCCTGTCCACTTCCCCTGTAGTTCACAGCTCTTTGSCCCAGCCATTGAGGACACTTCAGGTTAAACTACACCCTTTAAATTATATAGACCATTACCTTGCTCACCAGCTGAAAAAAAAAAAAAAAAGTGACAAAGTGAATTTCACTATGGCAACAACAACACAGGTGGGTAAAACACAGGTGGGAATGCAGCTCCAGGGCTGGCCGTCTCGGCTTGTTCCCCCAGAGAGCTGAGTAAATGCATCAGAGGGTAAGAGGGCAGGTCACTGTTCAGCTTCAGTTTCTAGGCAGGTGTGCACCAAAGCCAGTGCTCAGCTGGTCCCTGTAACTGGACCTGGCTGATGGTAGCACCAGTGACTGCTCCTTCCCTGGTAGTCCACAGCCCTGTGGTGCCTGCTGGCCTTCATTCCCTGCTGGCTTTGGTGCCTGGTGGAAGGGATCAAACTGTGGTACACAGATGAGTTTAAAAGTGACTGCCCTCCTTCCTCGCTTTATTTGTCTTTTTTTTTTTCTTTTCTCCTAGGAATTCTCCAACGTTCAAATCATTTGAGGAGAAGGTTGAGAGCACTGTCACAAACCTTAAGGTGAGGTTAGGGGCTGAATACGTGACTGTGCTTGTTAAAGAGCATCAGCTTTGCCACTGCTATCACTTGTGCAGGAGACAATTTGAATTTGCTGCTCCATCAAGAGTTTTCATGGAACTGCAAGTGCACAGGCAGAAAACGAAGGCAGTTTGCAGGTCTGAGGAGCTCTGTGCTGTGACCTGCTGTTGTGCCCCAGYGCAGCTGCCTGTTCGCGGGACAAACCGAGTCCCTGAGCGAGGCCCTGATCAAGGGCTGCCTCCAGCCCTGGCTTCACACAACCTGGGTGTCTCCTAGGGCTGAACCCTTCTCCCTTGGTGCACGTGTCCATTTCATTATCCTCTCTACATTCAAGACTTAAAAACCCCACAGAAGTCTCTTTTTAGGGAGAAGAAAGTCTGAGAGCGATCAAAGTAACTCAGGATTAGCATACCTGCCAGTTATTGCTCATAGAATTTGCTAAGGCTCCTCTTTAGCAGGACAGAGTATGGCAGATTTTCAGTGAGCTAATATTTGCAGCATATTGAAAGGAGAACAGAAAGGTCCTTCTCTGAATGGTTCATAATCATCTGATAAAGCCCCATAAAAGGCCCATAAAATGTCATTTCAGTTTAATGCTGTAGAAGATTCCACTGTGTTCCAGGTGCAATTAGTGCTCATGCTGATAAGAGTCAAAATTATCACCTCTTATTTTAGGAGGAACTGAAAATACTGGATTAATGTCAATGGATGTTAATGGAGACAAGTTATAAAGCATTTGAATGGCAAGAAAACAACCTCCTGCTTTCAGAGAAGGTAGCACAACCCACTAGAACGGATGCAGCTTTTTGCTTCTCAAGATGGAAACTTTTTATAACTATTACTCAGTCTGCCACAGCCAATATCGAGCATCCTAACTCCTTCCTACAGTGAACTTTCAAGCTAGGCAAGCTCCTGTACTAGCTGATGAAACAAAAGATTACACAGGATTAACCCATCGGAGACTTAAGATGCAGAGTTCATTTAATTAAAATAATCCTCCTAAACATTCGCTGTCTGGCAGGCTGGAAAAAGGCCACCTTTTGTTTAAGTCTGGCTGTAGTTTTAGGAAGGAAGAGTTTTGCCCTATTTTCAGACCAGAATCAACTTCCAGGAGGTATCACAGAATCACAGAATGTTCAAGGTTGGAAGGGACCTCTAGAGATCATCTAGTCCAACCTTCCTACTCCAGCAGGGACACCCAGAGCACRKGGMACAGGGYGGCATCCAGGCAGGTTTGGAAGACCTCCAGAGAAGGAGACTCCACAACCTCCCTGGGCAGCCTGTGCCAGGGCTCTGTCACCCTCACAGTGAAGAAGTTCCTCYTCACCTGGAGATGGAACTGCCTGTGTTTCAACATGTACCCATTTCCCCTTGTCCTGTCACTGGCCACCACTGAGAAGAGCTTGTCCCCTTCTTCCCTATATTCTCCCTTCATGAACTTATACATGTTAATCATATCCCCTAAGCCTTCTCTTCTGCAAGGTGAACAGGCCCAACTCAGTCTCGTGTGAGAGAGATGTTCCAGTCCCTTAGTCATCTTTGTCACCCTCTGCTGGACCCTCTCTAGAAGCTCCACATCCCTCTTATACTGGGGAGCCCAGAACTGCACACAGTACTCCAGGTGCGGCCTCACCAGAGCTGAGTAGAGGGGCAGAATCACCTCCCTTGACCTGCTGGCAACACTCCTCCTGATGCAGGCCAGGATCCCATTGGCCTTCTTGGCCACGAGGGCACACTGCTCACTCATGGTTAACTTGGTGTCAACCAGGACTCCCAGGTCCCTCTCCGTGGAGGTGCTTTCCAGCAGGTCGACCCCTAATCTGTACTGGTGCCTCGGGTTATTCCTTCCCAGGTGCAGGACCTGACCAAATGAAAACATAGTCTCTTACTATGACAACCCAGTCAAAGCAGCTTTTTTTTCGCTTGGAGTTTTGCTGTTTTACACACACACACACACACACACACACACACACACACACACACACACACACACACACACACATCTTTGTTAGGAAAACTCAGGAGTTTTAGAACTTATATTTAGAAATTGTGCAGACAATAGCATTTTGAAAGCAGATGAACTGTGAGCGCATAATTGCATGCTTCATTAATGCAATTTATTTCTCCCTAGAAGCAAGGTTTATCCATTCTGAGGGTAGCTGTGTTACTGTTGCTGGGGATGGACTACTTCACTAAGAAAATAAACCAGGTCATTTTAATGCCCATCTCTTACTCAGGTCGGTGTAGAACTGACACAACAGAGAAATAAATTCCAGATACTCGTGCAAAGAATGTTCCTAACACTGATATTAAATTAATCGGCAGGGCCTAGGGGACATTTCTTGGAGTTTATCATAACTGCCAGTGGTAGAGTTGAGCCTGAGCATGACGCAGGCGGGACTTGACCTCGCTGCTCTCTTTGCTTGCCCGGTTCCAGACCAAGGTTGGTGGGACGGCTCCCGCCGGCGGCAGCTTTGAAGAGGTTCTCAGCTCCACGGCGCACGCGAGCGCCCAGAGCACCCTGGCCGGCAGCCGCCTTCCCGAGAACGAGGAGGAGCTGCAGTGCTAGAGGCGCTGCTGCAGCGAGGCCCGGCCCGGCCCGGCCCGCCAGCAGCGGCCCCACGTCCCTCGCCGCCCGACTTGTGCAACGAGGTGTTGTCAGCTTTGGAGAATTGCCTCACGGACCTTGTGCGGGAGCACTTCTGCCTCTCTGTATTTGTATTTCGGGTGGGCCATTTCATCATCATTTTGTATGCCATCGGAAGCGCACRGAAGTAACTGACTGACTTAACATTATAGGATTTAAGAGTGTTTTAAGTGACCAAATGGGCTTTCATTTTCAGGTAACTTGCCTCCAAAATTCTCCTGCCGTGTTTCTTACTGCTTTGATTTTCCCGCGTTCGTTCTGTTTCTGTTGGTTTGCATCCCCTTCTCGGTGCCACAACAGATAGATGCACCTGGGGCTGTGCAGAGACTTGTGCTGCCTGCAGGAGTCCGTGTGCCGGCTGCCTGGGCTCGGAGTGTCCACACGGGCCGTTTTCCTAACGCAATTCCAATAGGTGATTGTCACAGAAACATGGGGTTCCTGTGTCACTGATGCAGTCTGATACTGCCMTCTATCCACTAGGCAGCCGTGACAGGGAGAACAGGAAGAGACAGCAGTTTTTCCTGTGGGAAGCTCCTTCCAGCTGCTGACCCAAGCTCACCAGTGTGGCTGGAAAAGCTTCTTTTAAAACCACGTTCTGGTGCTCGCTGTCTGCAGCTTGGTAAGAAACTCACTGGTAGAAACTGCTGACAACGGGAAGGGATGGGGGGAAGCCTGTCATGATTCTGCCTCGGTATCGGCCCCTCAAAAGAAAAGGGGAGGTAACTTTCTAACTGAGCAGCATGAGCCTCATTGCAATTACATCCTTAAAAGAAAGAAACCTGAACAGGGATTGATTAAAGATGTGCCATAGGCAGGAGAGCCCCTGTGCTCCAGTGTACCCAGGACATGCAGCTACTCCACTTCTTGCTCCAGATTTTGCCCTGCTTCCCTGGCAAAATTCCACTTCAYAGCTAGTTAGTCAGCAAGAGGCAGCTGGCTCTCCCAGCTTGGGTGCAGCCTGTTTTCTTGCCTCCTTTTCACATTCTTTAAAGAAAAGCACAGCACATGTGTGAGTGTCTCGCTAAGGAGCACGTGTCAGTCTGCGTGGGCCACGACTCCCTTTGCCAGGCTGAGATGAGCACAACGTTGCCAAGAGCCGAAGCAGCATGGGAAGCAGCCTGGGATGGATCCTTGTTTGGAGCATAAGGCAGAGCTTCAAGTCGATGTCAGCAAGTTCAGCGTGGTACAGTGCTTCAAATYTTGTGAGGAAACTTGACTGTGATTTTTTCCTGTGTGGCTTTTGTTTTTACAAAGTTGGAATATATTTCATAATGTGCAACTGGATGTAAGTTAGCTTGGACATTTCCATAAACTGCCTCTTTAGTGTGATGGTAGCATGGAAGCATTTAATTAGGTTTATTTTAGTACTGTTTGGTTGTGACAGTTTGCTAGCTCATTTTGCAGGTTTTAGCACATATGCAAATTTAAACAAAAGCTTACTGGTCAACTTAGCTTGTCTAAATGAAGTTATTGATATTCTTATTAAAAATAAATTTCTCTCAACTTTTATACTGTGGATTTTTTTTTTATTCTTACAATCACTGGTAATGCCACTTTTCTATACAGTAGAGCTCCTATCTTGTTAGAACTATAATCTGCCCTTCCACTTGCTTTTAAAAGGCATCCACTCTTCCCCAGGCACGCAGTTTCCCATGGAAATCTCTGGCTCAGATTCTGAAAGGTTGAAGAAGAAAAATGACTGAAGTGGGTGGTCAAAGCAGAAGGCCTTGCAGAGGCAAGAGTTAACATCTTGTCCTTCTATCAATAGTGCCCCCCCCTTTTTTTCTTTTTTGAACAGGCCAGCAACAAAAAAAAATTGTCAGGAAAATCATGTTGACATAGATAAAAAAAGTGAACTTTAAGAATATATATGGATACACCCATGCACATATGTGCATACACTAACACAAGAATATTTCTGGGAAACCTTTTTTTTTGTGAAGAGGTTGTGCTGACAGTGCTGGTAGCAGAGGTGCCTGGAAATCCTCATCATGGTTGTGATGTTTGGGGCTCCTGCCCTGGCTGGGCACGACCATGATAGGGCAGGGTGGAAACGCGAATGGAGTGACTCCGTCCCACCATCCAGGGTGCAGCTGGTGGGAGCAGTGCCAGCCCGAGCAGGACATCCCGCACGCTCCATCCCTTCCACCTCTCAGCACCTCGGCCTAGGTTTCCTGAGCGCGCATCCACCCGTAGCATCCTTCCCACTACTGCCCCTTGCTCCTCAAAGGCAGCATCCAAAACTGACAGGCAGTTACAGCTGCAGGGCTACAGGAAATAATTTTAGGACAGGCTTAATGCAAAACAAAACAAAAAAAAMCCCACATACCCCCAGCCCAAAACACCTTGCTGTGGRTTAGGGGGGACTTAGGATTACTGGCTTGACATAAACCTCAGCACCCGCCCCTGCTCTAATGCAGGCACAGGGTAAGGAGGTGTACAAAACATAGAACAGAAATAGGCTGAGAAAAATGAATGGGACCATCACTTTCTGAGGATCACATACTCCAAAGCAGTCTTCACCTCTAACTTGGCTTCTTATCAGGAGCTCCCAGAGAAAAGCAAGACCTGTAAGTGCTTCTGCCTTGAAAAGTGGTTTGAGCCCTGAACCGGCYAAGATGAACACATTAAAACCTGTCAAGCCTACCCAGAGTGAGTGCTCTCTGCCTTACTGCTTTCTGTTTATTTTCCTGTTTATTTTTTAAACAGAATACAGCCATTATCTCCATACACAGAATAGTTTTTTCTTCTTTTTTCAAGTATCCTTCAACCTTCATTCTTCCAAACTGGAAGTCACTGCGAGATGAGGAGTAAGACTCTACCCCCATTCACCTGGGATGACTAGTTTGTAAGTTGGCAACACGGCTGCATCTGCAGAAGTAAAGTTTCCCAGCGGAGAGTGTCAGGCCTCTTGCGGCCTTCTGCAGAAGAGGGCACAATCTGCGGGAAGCTCCATTCTGATAGTAAACAGAAATGTCTGCTACTCCAAAGACTTGATCCAAAAGTGATAAAAAACTAAATATGCACTTAGATGTTAGGGCCTAAAAAGAATTTTCATTRAAGAGTAGCTGTTTCTGCAGAACCTCTTCCTAATGTTGATTTATTATTACTGGGTTATGCTCTCCTAAAGAACATCTGCTTCCAGATAATAATTAGATTTTTCTCTGAGTGACCAAAGAGAGTTGCATTTCATTCAGCATTCCAGCTATTTTGCCCTATGAAACATACTGTTCTCCAGAACTACCCTACCCGCCTCTAAGTGGTACCAGGATTCTCAGCAGTTAATGCACAGAACAAATTTCCCCGGCACATTTAGTGATGCTATGGGAAGGAAAACGCCACAGAGAATGTAAAACAACAAGTAAAATTTAATAGAGCTATAGCTGCTTAGGAACCCCTCCAGAATGTGGCTGGCATGCAGCTATTTGTTGATTCCTTTCTTTGTTAATCACAGACACAAGCTGAAGAATTTCTGGGTGAGCAAATTTTCCTGCAAGACAAAAGAAAAGGAAAAAAAAAAAATAAAGACAGCATTTTAAAGATATATACATACACACAGCAGTGACATTGCTTTAGGCTCAGAATAAACTGACAGTCTTTCTACTTTACTCCAACTAAGGAATAACCGTAAGAGCAGTTACAGCCATTTCCCCCCCCCCCCAAACACTGACCCAAAACTTCTTGCTCTGCTAAGACACTTGGAGCTAGAGGAGGGCTGTGCCCTGAGCACAGTAATTCCAGGCTGTATGTTCTACTAGAGGAAACCAGCCCAATTCAGGGACTTGAGATCATGGGTTCACTTCAGATATAYGCTGTAGGCTCTACTGAGAAGCTATCTTAACTTACTGAATTCTAGCAAAAAAGTAAAGATGGCAATTAGAAAAATGTCCATTTTTCTGATGTAGCCTTTTTTTTTCCTTCTCTGAGAAATGTATGAGCAAATGAGCATATTATTTCCCTGGGGAGTCACCAAGACATATATGAGATTTATATAAAATATATAAAATTATTTTGCAGATACAGTGTCTGGAGATTATTGGTCCTTTCCTTCAACTTGCCTCTTCCTGTATTTTTCCCAGGACACAATCACTTGGAAGCAGAGCCCTTTTCTGGTTCAGCTCTCTGGCTAAAATTTTAAAACCAGCTATTTTACCTATTTCCTCATGTTAGCTAACAATTTACTCTGGAAAGCACGTGGAGCAGCACATGCAATTGCACTACACTTCATTCTACCTAAAGCATTTCACCGAGCTGGCYGCCACGTATCCTCCTTGGGGCAGGTCACACAAGGCCCCAGTCAATGCAGGGACAGCAAGTTCCCTCCAGCGCCCTGTGAAGCGCCAGCTTAGGCTGCAGCTTCCTTCTGGCAAAGCAGGGAGGGCTCCTTTGCCCCCCTCAGTGGGCAAGAGGGGTCCCAAGAGGCCTGTAAGAGCTCCTAAGCCCAGCTTCTCTCTAAACCCAAATGATGTTAAAGGAAGTTGGTAGAAACCAGGCAATGCAAATGCCACTATCTACGGATGGATGTGAGGTGCTTTTACACCACAATAAGCGACATCACAATTATTTAGCATGTACTTCAGTAACAAGGGAAACAATGTTTCTTACCAGCTCTATCATACACACACATGCACAAACTAAACAAAAAAACACACAAGAACCACAAATTATACACCCATTTCATTAAAAACAACAAAAGTCACTGTCATACCAGCAGTTGAATCAAAAAAATCCTGCAGTCTGCCAGGTGCCTTCTCCAGCTCCTCGTACTCAAATGCCTGCAGCAGCATCTCGCATCGATCCAGCTCCTTTACAAACCTGGCTTCTGCAGTAGACTGATTCTCATATTCCTGGACAGATGGGCAATTACAAGAAATTTGGGGTTGTTGTTCTGAAACAGAGTATTAGGAACTCTTTTTATATCTCAAGTTTCCTTCATTAGTAAAAGCCATTCCATAAATGCTCAGGACAGAGTTACTTCTTTCTGTCTCTTAAAAGGCTGCTGTTCAGCAAAACACTTGAAATTAAGTATATGCTAAAGTTCTATTGAGCATAAGAGGATTTAAGGACCCAGTTAAGTCCTGCATGCTCAAACATGTTTTGCTGAATCAGGGATCACACGGAGACAATCCTAGGCATGATGTATGAGCTAAACAATAGGTTCCATATAATAATTTTCTACCTATAAAGATCTCCAAGGCTGGCTAAGACTACGAACCACCATGGCATATGCCTCTGCGTTGCTTTTACCTGTTTGGAAGAACTATTCTGCATTTTTCTCCACCACTTGCTGCTATCATAAGGACTTGTTCCTTCAGTTTCCCTGTCACTCCTCCTTAGTCTCTTTGGTCTGATCAGAGCTGCTCCCATCCCTCTCCTGGGAAAGCAGGAGTGCTGGTGTTCGGGGCTTCCCTCCCACTAAGGCTGCCTCTCCTTGAATCTCTCTGCCCCTTCTCCCTCTCTCCATTCATGGCCAGGTTTTATTTGTGAGTCATTCACCTTGCTTGTCAGCCCAAACAGTTTTGCCACCACTCGCCTTGGTGAGGGCTGCAGGCAGGCTGCCCCTTTCATTCCCCTTCCCAGAATCCATGGCACTGTATCCAACAGCTCTTCACCCGGCCAGCTCCCAGCTTCCCAAGTCAACCATGGAAAGGGCCATTTGCCCTGCAGGTTATGGTAACCTCGCTGCATGCAACAGCTCTGAACCCCACAGCAGCAGCAGCCACTGCCCTGGGGCCCGGGYTGACACCAGGCCCTCCTGGTGTCTCAGGCCCACGCGGCCAGTTCTACACGGGGCGATTCTGGGCGTGAGAACAGAGCACCCAAAGGGAGAGCTTCTCCTGACCCACAGGATACAACAAATTTGGCAGAAYTTGAAAGAACAGAGAAAGACTCAAAGCTCCTACCAGGATTTAAGCCACTTGATAGAGCAGAATTTTGTTTCCAGAACACRACAGACAAGAATAAACCAATTGACAATAAACTCTTGCACAGTGAAGTCAGTGAATGTCATCCTCATTGATAAGCCCCACTCAGTGGTGCTGTTCTTTGTTTTTATGTATTCTGAACACAGCAGTACCTTTCTGCTACCTTTCTCCTCTAGAGCACAGACACCCACCCTTGGGGGTCCTGCTCATTCCAAGGCAATGGTCTTCAAGACTACAGCACAGCTGGGGTCAAAACCCACTTTGTTGTTGTTTTTTTCTTTTTCCTAATTGCTCTACTCAAAGTAAGACTGGGGGGGGCTACTTGCAAGTATTAGATTTTTAGATCACTTTTGTTGCTGTACAGGTTACACTAATAACAAAGAAAGGAAACAATAGAGAAAAATATGTAAAAAAAACCTGCAAGACAACTCTTACCTATTAGAAACTATTGTTGTTCTGTTACAGAGGC